GGTTATGTCCATTTGAAAGATGAAGGAGGCGCAGGTGGTGCAGTGACAAGTGGTCAAATCTCCGACAGGCTCCCATTTGGACCAACCAGCCTTCTACCCTTAGGGGACGTTAAATCGGTAAATTGGTACCAGATTCATCTGTGAGGATTAGAGCACTGACCTGTACATCAGCTGGCCCCCGCATTTCATTGTATATTCAACAAGCCACTACTTCCGAATGAAAGAAGAATGCGCGCCGCATTCCAGGAAGAGATTGAATGACGGCGAAGAGTTCGTCCTTTATGCCCATGAAATCCCTGTCATTCCGTCTTCCGTTAAAGACATAACTACGCTCCCCTAAATGGGGAATATCCCCCAAAAGCGCAGCAGCAGGAGCTAGATTCCAATGGTATACGCAGCCACGCCCACCCCGTCTCCGGAATATGTAGTGTGTCCACCCCTACCCCATTCGTTCAATGGCAAAATTTTGGGAAGTACCGGTAAGATGGTCGGTCAGTTGTGTAAAGAGTCGTAGCTGTAGGAGAAAATTCAGAGGGGGGGGGCACACTGGAAGGAGAAATTTCATGAGATCGCAGTAACCAAGGATTCCCCCCAACGGAACTACTTTCCCCGGAAGGAACTGGTGAGTTATCTTATCCCACTACCAAATGGAAGCCTTCGGGAGATGATCTATAACGTCATGTGATCACCTTTACTTTGATAGTAGGTGTGTTTCACTGCATACGTATAACTTCAGCAACTGTTAGTGGTAACTAGTTATTCCACACCGGTGCATCGGCTTTTTTGCAGAACACTGACACTCTTATCTGGAACAAACGTTGCCCTTTTAGGAATAATGAATCAGTGACACCCGCACTTCTCTTGCCTTTATGAATAGGTGCTTATCAGATAGTTAGTCCTCTAACAGTGCTGAAACTGGTCTTCACGACTTCTAGGCTTAGGAATCCTCCTTTTTGCACCAACACACCTCAACATTTTCTCGCCCTCATTCCCACACTGCCATAGCGATCGTGTAGAGTCATAGACTCTTGGTTTCGTTATGAGTACATTGAAATTTTAGTGAATGGTAATCATTTTGGGGCATGCCAGGAGCTCCTGCCAGCAGTCCAAACTTTCGAGTTTTTTGAATTTTACTTGCGTCAACATTGGCACAAATACCTGCAAAGTAGAAATCTGTCTCACAATATTGAATTTTTCTCGCCGCTTCTCACCGATTGGCTCAAATATGGCCCCAGTCGTCCGTTATAACTCTCCTTTCGTCATCAGGAAAACAGTTCCTCAGTCCATCTCCCACATAGCTGTCACTGATAGAATGCTCCGTAACACCGCGATAATCGAATTCCCGTTCGAATGCAATGCGATTGATCAAATTGCTGTAGAATTTTGAAGAACGCATGGATTTCTGACAAGTTTCAGACCAAAACATGTGCTTCTCCATGTGTGCCCAGATATTATATGGTATTATTATGTTCGTATGTCTCGCACTGACACTTGGCGCCATGTTCACATCAAGTACGTCATTTGAGTTGTTTTGTGTTAGCATTCGCCAATATTTACTTATTGTTTACTCCACATACTTTTGTTGTTATCTGTCATCAATCCTGCATATCTAGGAATCATTCTTTCAGGCATCTTTCAGTTACATGCGGGAAGTGTCTCGTGCTGACACTTTGCTAACCCCACAATGTGAAAAGGCGTGGCTTCTAGCGCTTGCAAAACAGCCTTTTCTGCCAATCACTGCGAGCTACAATAAATGGCGGAAGGGGCCGCGCTGGTTGCGCTCCAATACACACCCCTTTAAAGACAGGTACGATCACACATAGTTTGGGNGTGTGTGTAGTGTGTGACTATCAGCCCGACAGTCTGTCGAAGCGTAGCCGGTTTCCCGTCCAAAAATGCGCAGGAATGAAGATACAGGACCGTGTAACACGCTTATTCCTCCATGCTCCGCCCGATACCTTTTGCAGCGCAGACTCCCGTTCATGCTAACATTCGTCGTAAGCGCGCGTGTCGCGTGCGGACCTCTGGCACTTCGCCAAGCCTGTAATCGCGCTTTGGAATACAAGTAAAACGCGATTTCCTGATGCGGATAACATTTTAGGTGCTGCAAAATAAGAGCCGAAGATGATGACGAGGGTCAGAACTCAGCAACTGTGCGGCTTTTGCAATATCCTCGAAGGCCGCGCATTCCCACAAAACATGGAAATAAAAACGGCTCAAATTTACGTTTTTATTTTCATGTTCACTGTGAATGCGCGGCCTCTGAGGGATATTGCAAAAGCCGCACAGTTGCTGAGTTCTGACCCTCGTCATCATCTTCGGCTCTTATTTTGCAGCACCTCAAATGTTATCCGCATCAAGAAATTGCGTTTTTGTATTCCAAAGCGCAATTACAGGCTTGTCAGAGTGCCAAGAGGGCCGCACACGACACGCGCGCTTACGACGGATGTTAGCATGAACGGGAGTCTGCGCCGCAAAAGGTACCGGCGGAGCATGGAGGAATTAGCGTGTTTCACGGTCCTGTATCTCCATTCCAGCGCATGTTAGGACGGGGAAACCGCTACGCTTCGACAGCTGAAGGGGGGGGGGCTGATAGTCACGCACATCCAAACTATGTGTGATCGTAACATGTGTCTTTAAGCTGCGTTCATACTTTGCGGCAGCGTCCATTAGCGCTTTGAGCGTCTAGCAGCGTCAGCAACTGTTGAAGTATAGATACTGACCTAGGTATGGCGCGGTAGGAGGAAACCAGCGTAGACAAACCTCGCGATTGCATATTGTGGGTGATGGCGCTCAATAACGATTACAGTCACCAGCCTCTTCAAAGAATCAAAAAAAGCAAAAAAAAACACGTGGAGAACACCCTGAGCAGGGCCTGGCAGCCTTTCTGTACAACCCGTACCTGCTCGTTTTCTGCCAGCAAAGCGATATCCAGCCACCTCCGTCTCACTAATAATTTCTTTGCGTCGTCCAATGCAAGTGCCACCTAACAGTGACAAGAACGACAACGCGTGGTAAAATTCGAATCGTAACTGAAACTAGCCTGTGCGTTTCGGTGGGCGGGGCAACTGGGGAGGCGTCGGAACTGCCATTTTGAAGGCAGCAACGCCTTCTCAAGTAATTGTCTAGTGGGAGAATGAATGGGAAAAAATGGGAATGGGAAAAAATGAGAATGGGAAAAGTGGGAGAATCATAGAGACTGAGGGCCACGCTACTTGTTGCAAAGACGTACACCTACGTAGCGCTTGAGGGCAGGGGCTGCCTTTAATTATGTCAACAACGGTATTTTAGCCACTCGACGAAAAGTGCCAGTCATCTGACTAGAAGTTCCCTAACAATTACAATTATAGAGCATGATTTTTATGCTTTTTGTATTTCCTTACGAGTCAGCCTAAAACATGCGGCGAATCGTGGTTTTTATGGAAAAAGCGATCACGTTAACTTCTATGAAACAACAACTTCTTTCATGCAATTTTGCTGACTGTCAGTTGAAAAAGCCACTTCATTATTTCTTAATCGCATTTTTCCAGCGATTCAATCAAATATGCAGTCAGGGACTGTCTGAATAAAGCAAACGGTAAGATAAGACGATGACACATCGCTGGAGGATTCCTTACAAAAAAAAAACATTGCACTTATATCTTCGCCATAATTCATTCGTTCAACGCCCGCCTCTACAAAAATAGGACGAAAATCAAACGTTTCTCGAAACCGAATTAATATCATTAGTAACATCATGATATCAAAAAAGAATTCATAGCAAGAACTCGAGTGACTTGTTAAGAATTCACTGAAGGCCCACTATGAAGTCATTGTCATCGCCAGGGTGGCGTCTTCCCAGGTGGTAATCCAGAGACTGAAGGGCAGTCAAAGGTCGGAGCAGTTCTGCGACGGGGAGAGGGAGGCATTTTGCACTATCACTATTTTAATCGACGTGTAGAGCCATCTAGAGAGCCTTGTCGTGAGCTTACAAGATGACAGGTTTTACCACGATGGCATCACGAGGTTGCTCCAGCTTCACAAGAATTCACAGGTTTCACTAGAGTGAGACTTGCAAACCGGAACTTGTGAAGAAGCGGAAGTGCAAAATACCCCCCTCCCCCGTCGCCGAAGTCAAGAAACTACTGAAAGCTCATTTCGGTGTCATTTTCTTGTGGCGTCCTTCCAGTTCATGAGCCGAAGACTGAAGAGGGTAGTAGGACGAGGAATGGTTAGGGCTCTACCGTAAATAGTGGAGGACCGCCCAGTCAGGACGCAGTTTCGTCTGAGGCAACTTCGCGATATGTGGGGGGCGCACTGTCAATAGGAAAGCTTTCTTTTTGTGTCCCTTCCAGCTTAGCTGCTACACAATGCAGCTGTTTGCAGTATATTCCTGCGATTCCACTACCAATGCAGCCTGCAGTACAAGCCTGCGTTGTACTGGAATCGCTGATAGTAGATTTTTTCAGAGCAGGGGTGTTGTATAGTGGGGAGAATGATGAGGAAGCGAAGTGAATGGCAGACTTCGTCCTCCTCGCATTACACGAGTATACAGGGAGCATTTTAAGACAAGTTTTCCCTTGGCGTCGTGCCGACAACAGCTTTGACGGGTGGTCATATGTATTCATACGACCATGTAGCAACGCTTCTTATTTATACTTTACAAATGAAGTGATAAGAGTACTGGCGTGGATGTGACTCTTCGGCCAACTGTGGGTGGGCGGTTGGCGTGGGCGTGTCGCCATGTAGCACCTTGATTACTCGCTACAACTGCGACCTTGTTTGGAGAAGGCGCCACGCAGAACCTGCTTAGAGGCACAATATTTGAACCTCAAGGGGTCATAGTAATTACTTTCCAGTTTAATGTGCAAATGTCATATGATATTAATTACAACGAAGTTGTTTCCCAACTCTCCCAAATTACACATGAATTAGCGAAACGCAATAAATTCGCAACAAATTTGGCAAGACGGCTCAATATTTGATTGACAAATAGGTTTTAGACTGGAGACAGATCAGTGATGAACTGCAACAGGATGCTCTACTCGGTCATGTGCCAGACCACATGGGAATCTTCCCCTTTGCATGCAGAATGCCAGGCTCCAATTCAACTCTGTCTGAAAATGCTACTGGCCTACAATACTGTGAAGAGTGGTGGAATGTGATTCTAATTTTTTTCCCTGATTTTAATGGTTATCCACTGTTTAATTAGTTCTAGAATCTCAAACCATGGGAGAAAGTGGTTATCGCAGCAATGGTTGTTGCAGTTATATTCGAGGTGTTCGCTTTAGTCTGGAACCTCTTTACTTGGTAAGCTCACATTGATCGGTTAATTTATATTTCTGAGATCTGGTCGTGGCAAGTTGGGTGACTGGTGCTGCACTTAAGACCCCCCTCACCCTTTTGCCCTTGCATGATCCGCTAGATCCCTTAATAGGGAATGCAGCCTTGTTGCGGCAGACTAGGGGGGGGGGGCTGGATTTGGAGTTTGGCACGACTCCATTTCGTTTGTTGCCAATTGTTGAAGAGGGGAAGAGGCAACCATCTGCAGAAAAGGGCTGACGCCGCGCCGAACACGCAGGCCATGCCATCGTTGCAGTGTCCCCAACAGGGGATCTTATTTGGTCGCTTGCGGAGGAAGGGTCGTATTTGGTCTACAAAATTTTTTTTGATAGTTGAATTTTCTTGTTTCGCGGACACTTTGAGGGGGAGGGGGTCGTATGTGCGTTCTAAGAGAAATTTGCGGCGCTGGGAAAAATTTGTCTCGGTTGTTGTTTCGCGATTTTTCCTGTTCCACATGTGCTCGACAGCAAAATTGGGGAAATCCCGGAAAAAACTAGAAGCAGGTTGGGAAAATCAAAGAGTGGTAGGTAGGATGGGGAAGGAAGAGAGGGTCTCATCCTCGCGGTTTTTTTGTTTCACATGTGCTTTATATACCCCCCCCCCTACTAGACCCGCTTGCCCAGCTCGACAGCTCGGTCATATCAGATGAGGAAATCAGGAGGGGTCGTACCAAGTCACCTCTTGGGGGGGGGGTGTGGGAAGAGAAGTCGTACGTACTCGGCTGAAATTCCCAACCAATAATGTGCCCTGAACCTCCCTCTGCCCAGCATTCGCACTGAACAAGACTAAACTCACTTGTCTTCAGTACTCACTCAACACCCTTTACCAACACGTAAATCGATTGCAAATTAATTTCGATAGTAAACCATTGGGCAGGTTAGGCGCAGATACCAAACTACTGGATACCGAGTGAATATCTCATGTGCAAATATACTTTATTTCACTTCAGTTTTTTGGTAGTACTTTAGAGGTTGTCTAAAAAATGGTTTTGCAGGTGTGCATGTTGTTGTAAGCAGTTCCTCCTTCATCCCCTGACTCTGGCAGCGATCGGTGCCTCGATTTCCCTCGCCACAGCTGTCGTCGTATATGGGTTGAAGAATCAGACAGCATTCGGTAAGTGATTTCAGTACTGAGCTTTTGCAGCACTTGCGCCGGGTCATGCTAATTTGATTACATCCTCTGAGGTGTTCACCGATAGCGAACATATTTGTAAATAGTTTCTCTGGCTATATTGTTTCAATCTATTGACATCACTTTTGAAAGATTTTTATTTTCAGAAGGAGTAAAAGACTGGAAGAGCATTGAGACGAAGATCACGTCTGAGGTTAGCCGTTGCTGCTTTTTCCATTCTGCGTTGGTAGGGGGTAGTGAGAATACGGAGCTTTACTGTTTCTCAAGTGTATTCATATAGGTATCTTTTAAAGGCAACGAGCACGATGCTGCGGGAGGGAGGTTACAGCCAGTCTCCGCTGGAAAGACTGCGAAATGACGTTCGGCCATCCCCTCCGCCTTTTTTTAGGATGGGGGCTGTGAGGTGATCATGGCTCCTCTGCGGGAGGGTGGGACATAATACCGGCCATGGTTTTTCCCTAGCCGCCTACCACATTTTTCGGAATTTCCCGAAAATTTTCCTACATTTCCCCGAAAATTTTGCTGTCGAGCGGGGAGGGCGGGGGTTGGGTAAATAGCACACATGGAACAGGAACAACCCCGAAATGTGATTAACCTCTCTCACAAATACGACCCCCGCCTTCTTCCCTGAAACAACAAAAAGCAACCATATCAAATTTTCCTCAGCCCAAATACGACCCCTCCCCCTTCTCCCAGCAACCTAATGCGACCCAGCTGTTGGGGAATCCCTAACAACGATGTGCTCAGATCAAACATAGGCTGGCCCTTGAAGTGACTAAGAAAGTCAAATATACAAGACCTTGGCACAAAGGTAATTAAAGTAGTATACATGAGCAATGGGAGTGATTTGCGTCAATTACTCCGCTTATTATCGCTTTCGAGTGAGTCTGAGAGCGGACCATTTTCATGAGTGTTTTCTTGAAATCTTGTCTTGTAAAATGAGAAATAATAATTGGAATAAGTAACAAGTAAAAAATTGACCAAGTTTGACTAAATAATACAATTCCAAAGTATAAACGATATATTTGACAATTACTGTTTTTTGTTACTTTCTATTTTTTCAATATAAGAGCAACCATAATTGATTTGATAATTCAAGGTCGGTTATTCGTTTTGGCTGGCTGCTGGGGCGTTAGTCCTGGCTATTGTGGATGTTATCGTTGGCACATGCGCTGTGTGCATGGGAGAAAGCTGTCTATGATGAGCGAGGGCAGTGTACTTTTCACACTTTTGCTGTTTACTTTTAACATAACTGGACGACATTTTGTTAAGATCGCAAGAATTTGTATGGAAACCAGTAAGAAAAAGAAATTTAGTGGTCGGTAGTTGAAGAGTATTCGTTGGTCAGAGAGGGGGAGTTTCGAGGGTCATGGTGGGAAGGTGTAGGACCACACCACCAGGGGTCTATGAACAGGGCACAGCACCGTTGCTGAAACACATGGGAGGGTCGTACTTGGCCGCTGCGGAGGGGGGGGGGGTGGTATGTGCCTTTGAGAGAAAGTTGCCGCGTTGGCAAGCCTTTTCTTCCTGTTTCTGTGTACAATATACCCCTCCCCCCACTCGACGGAAAATTCTTGGGTGAAAAACTGGGAACTTATAGGAAAGTGGTAGGTATGTGCTGGGGAAGGGGGGGGGGCTCGTACGACAGCACCATTTCACACATCACTGTGCTGTACTCAGTCTATAAAGTGTGATCCAGTGCCTTTTATCCGCTCTTCCACCAGTGACCAGGAACTGTCGCTCTTACCTCCTGACCAACGCAACCACATCTCTGAATTCTAGCTAACTAATGATATCTACTGTTACTATTTGCGAACTACCCTTCTGTGATATGCTGTGATAATTAATCAGGAAGTGCTAATGGTGTTGTAACCATGCTTCTGCTCATTTATGCTGCAATAACGGTGATAAACTTTATTTTCACGTGTACATTTATAATAAATTGGGATATTTTGTTTCTTTCTCTAGCCTGAATAAAGCTTCTACTGGAATATTATTCTGGGTGGCAAAAGGTTTGTGATCAATTTCACGAATATACAGCCTTTATCCCTGAGACGGAGTAGGCGTGGCATTGGTCACAGCATAGGATGGGTTACGCGTAAGATATTTCACTACTCGAGACAACCGTGTTCTGTGTTGGACAAAGACACGATTATTACTTCTTCAAAACGAAATTATCCCACGAAAACCTTGGCTGCGCCACTTCGGTTGAAGTACGCAGCCACGCCTACCTCATCTTACAATCTGTTAGGGATTTCAAGTGTACATGCGCACAGAGAGAAGACACGATAAAATGAATTGTGAGAGGTGACATAGGATGAAATGGGGATTTGTAGCGTTTGCCTCCATCGAAGGAAGCTTGTGTGCTTACGTACGAGGATTTTAATATTACATCAAGTCGTTTGGCACAAATTTCTTCCTCAGGACGAGCTTGAATCCTAAAGCAGCATCCACAGCGACGTAACGGTTGTACAGTTCATCCCTGTTATTCAACCACGAATTGTTCTCTTTAGCTGAGCAGAACAGCATCTGAAATGGAGTACTGATCATGTTCGCTATCGTTCAATATTTCAGCTCAAGACATTTTCTGCTGGTGAAAATTTTCGGAAAATGCGACTTCCCTGATACAATCTCCACCCTTCCCATAATCCCCAAAACTTTCCTAGATCATCCCAACTTTTTGTATTTCCTTAAAGTTTTCCCGGAATTTCCCGAAAACGAAATTTTTCTAGTTTTTCCCCCGAAATTATGCTCTCCAGCGGGTGACAGGGAGGTCGTCTGCAACCAACTACTCCAACTACTAGTTCCAAATAATCAGCAAAAGTAGCTGTATAGAACTTTGGCGGCGCCACCAACTAAGAGCAATTGTACAGCACATGTCAAACAGGAAAAACCGCAAAGAGTCAACAAGAAGGAAATTTTTCTTAATCTGCAACTTCCTCCCCCTCCCCCTTCCAAAGGCAAATACGACCCGCTGGAGATCCTCCAACGTACGACATGGTCTGTTTCAGATGTGAAAGAGGCGCTCAAATCGTTGGCTTAGAAGAAAAATTTCAAAGATGAAGAGCTAAGATTGCTGGAGCCACTGCAGTGACTTTGATCTCAGAACTTTCGCCACCGGCAGGCTCCGCCTCGTTTCAAAGAACAGGCCATCGGGCAAAGGGATTCAAGTGCCACCGCCAGGACGATGATTTTGACATCTTCCTCCAATCTTCCTTGCGTAGTTTTACAACAATTCTGTGGGAGTGCTAAGTAAGTAAAAGGAGTAAAATTTTCTGAAGTGACAGCCTATGCTAGTATTAGCACGCGCTGAGACCTATACGAGATTTTAGGGCAAAACAATTCAAATAACCCCTTATGTCAGTATTTGTTTAAATAACTTACCCGGTCAACCTTGCCATCCGCCATGAGATAACACGAAGGAAAATGACGCGAGAAGAGGAAGTTCAACTTAAATTGTAATAAATAGATTTTAACTTGATTTTATTGAGCACTTGTAGTGTGGTTGATTTTTGCAGCTTATCAACTGCACTGAACATAGACATGTGCACAGTTGTTTACGCAGCAGACCCTGGGGGGGGGGGTGTCAGGGCATTTTGGCGCTGCGCGGCGTCAGCCCATTTCGCACCAACTGTTGTCGCTTGCCCGCTTCTGGTGAGAAACGAGCTGGCGCCGCGTCAAACTCAGCCGCCATGACATGCCAAGCATCTGCAGCGAAAACGACTGTAAGAAAAGGACTATAAATGAAAAATCTCACCCGGTCAGCTTCGTCTGTTCTGTCCCTGCTAGTAATAATATTTACAATAACTGCTCCTAAATTGTTTGAATTAATCACCAAAGCACCAATACTTCTGAGTACGCTCAGAGGTGTAAAAACTTTGAAAGCTCTACCGTTCGAGGAAGTGATAGCTTTCATCGCATCGATCACATCATCGCTCAGAAATTCCTCTATGGGACACATCATAGCACGTGGTACGTTGTAGCACACATCCAGTAGTACTGCATTGTATTTCACTCCTGGAAATGAAAATGTCCTACATTGTCATAGCGATCTGCCCCATATCACTACCAGTCGGATTGGCCCACTTCGCCGGCTGCTCCTATGCGTGTTAAGTTGGTCGTCCCTCACACATTTCCAAAAAAGAGGGGGTTCCGGGCTCTTTTGGGACAGAACAAGGAATTTTTTAGAATTTTTGCAGCAAGCATTGAACCTACAGCATGTCCCGCCCAATATGGGTGTGTCTTGTCTGCGAACTGATTCCTTGTCGTTTCCCATATTTTCCACTGTTCTGGCCCTTTTGGCACCGATTCATGAATTGTTGAAGGTTTTGTAGCAAGCGCCGCCCACCTATAGAACGCCCCCTCATTGTGAGTGGGTCTTACTGGTTTCGTGCGCCAAGAGATTGCTTATCGCTTGCCACTTTCATGCTTTCCGGGCTCTTTTTGAACCGATGTACGAGTTTTTGAAAGTTTTGTGATTAGCCCTGCCCACCTATAGAATGCCCGCCCTTGGTGAATGTGTTTCACTCATTTCGTCCGCCAACTTATTGCCTACCGCCATTTTTCCGCTCTCCGGGCTCTCTTGGAACTGAGTTCCGCTTTTCAAAATAAAAGGTCACTGCTCGCGGGCAAGCGCCGCTGAACAAAGCCGTACGACGTAGGAATGGGCTGCTGCGACGCAATTTTACACCACTTTTGCACCAATTTGCGTACCGTACTCCTCAGCTCACGCCTAATTTTAATGATGTGCGGGTGCTTTTTCTTTTCTTATACCTCCATTTGTCTGTTTTCGCATTTTTCACTCGCACCATGTTGTAATAGGCCATATTGACTGTGCACTGCATGCAAAAAGGCGTATACCCTAATCATCGTAACGAATGAATGAACACAAACCACAGGATATGATTTAAGTATACAAAATAATCATAGCACAACGAGGAATGAATAAGGGCGGTGATTAGTACTACCCTGCTGAAGACTGAGCAAGTCAAAGTCACACCACAGGAACATTCCTTGCCTAATGACTACCATTTTCGTGTTCAACGGCTCAAACTACTTCTGAAAGCATACTTCCAGTCAATTCTGAATTTTGTCCAGGCTTCGAAAAATTGGTTATGTTTTATGAGTTGGTGTGGGGCTGGGTGGTGGACGCAGGAGTTTCCTAGCAATGAGACTTAATCTTTGGACAGAATCAGCTTTTCTGCCGCGTTTCCGACTTCGTTTTCGCAGGACCATGTTGCCGCACCCATCAAGCAACAGTTGCGGTTTCTCTGGACTATCGTTACCTTCGAGGGAAAGTAGGGATATTTGCCATAGACGGTGTATGCTACTCTCGATGGGATCTCCCGAAGAGCTAGAAGCGGAATTTGCTAGCCCGAATTCGGGAGAAGGTTCGTTGGAAACCAGCCTGTGTGTGGAGCTCATACCTTCGTGACTTGATATTTTTCGGACTCCTACAATAGGGCTGACGAATTCGTTGATTTGCTTCGAGCTTTCTTGGAATTTTGCTAGATGAACAGTTTTTCAAGAAACCTGGTTGCTTTGTGGTTTGAAGGCCACTTGCCTCGGTTCGCAATGAACTTCATAAGTTTTTCACACTGAAAAGGTGTGACATTCGTGTCGAGGTGTCAGACTTCCTTTGGAGACAAATTCTCATCGTAATCTGAGACCTTAACTTCTTTTAAAAAATTACGTGTTCACTGTTTGGCCATTATTGCTCCGGCAATAACAGCCAAACTGTGCACTCGTCCCCTTCTGACCACTCCTATCTATAACCGACTAGTCCTGACTGGCAATTTGATTCTAATAATCAGAAAATGATGCAGATGCCAACACACGAGGAAGACATCGCTCTCCAAAAGGACGCACTTCTGAAAGTTTTTTCCGGTTCCAAGAGTGCTCGATGACGAGCCTGCTCGAAGACCCAAGAGACCGTTGCCCATCTATGATGACACTTTGTGGATATCTGCCAAACTCACAAAGTTCAGTGGAAATTTGTATTGTCTTCGCCTCTGAACATGGATATCATGGTCGTTTAATGCAGGAATGCCTGAAGCGCGCGCCTCTGGTTCTAGCCTTCATTCAAGTGGTGGTCATCATAATTGCCCTTGTTAATGAGAGAGATATTCTACACAAAATGCTTGCGGCAGTCTTCCTATCCTTGGATTACCCATACCACGTGGATCTGACCGCCTACGTCTTTCACCTCAAAAAGACACTGATAAAACTCCTCACATTATGTTCCGCAAGTCATCTCGCAAACTTCGCAAGCAAGATTGAGTTTAGCGTCTCAATTCGAGTACATTGATGTATAATTTATTGCAAAGGACCAGCTGACCTTTCCTAGTCAATCATAAAACACTCGAAATCATTAAAATTAGGCGTGAGCTGAGGAGCACGGTACGCAGAGTGGTGTAAAAGTGGTGTAAAATTGCGTCGCAGCAGCCCATTCCTACGTCTGCGTAGCTTTGTTCAGCGCCGCTTATAATAGGCGGGGTTTGCTTGATTCATTCCGTACATTTTGGCTCATGCCCTACCCATCCCACGCTTGAACGGCCTCTAAAACTGGCTCTTCAGGTGATGCCCAACTTCCAGACAGACAGACAGACAGACATTGCCGCTTATATGTAGTAGATGTGCAAAGATAGGCTAAAGAGAAGCTGTGCACTCATCTCCATGGGTTCTGGTGCTTGCCATGTGTGAGTTAGTGGGTCCGCACCAGGACTAGTGTGTCACTTTCCCCGCTGGAAATTGCATATGAGGCAGCGTTCAGACTTCGGGCGTCAGCGCTCCAATCGCGCGATTTTACGATCGATGCGCATGCTTTCGACTGCATCGATCTCGTGGAACGCGCGACCGAAGCGCTGCCGTCGCGGGGTCTGATCGCTGCCGGAGCTCGGCTGAAGAGTAGTCGTACCCAAATTTCGGGAAGCATTACCACTCACCCTCATTCCCGGATGCTACTACCTTGCAGCTTCATTTACCTCTCAAGTGAGGATGTACTACGCTTGTACAGCTACCAACCCGTTCTTCTCGGCAAGAATCGTCCTCCAAGGTGAGTCCTTTTACAGTTGTCAGTAATCACATTTTGTCTTTTAGTTGTAAGTAGTGAAACCTCCAGAAAGAGCATCATATTGTTAAGAGGGAACCTTTTTTTGCAGCTTCACGGACGAATCTGACGCCATCCTCAATAACGATTTGGTGATTCGGTGATTCTTGAAAGTCGTACCATTTTTCTGCGATCCGCTTCATCACTGGATCAATATCAACAACGGTGACGGCTATCTGAACTGCGCACTAAAATTATAAAAAAACATGCTCATAGCGTTTCTCGGCGAAAATAGCGTCATAGCGTTTCTCGGCGTTTCTCGGCAATGGCTGTCAACCCTTTCTCATACTTCAAGGCAGTTGACAGGATGGCTGGGGGTGGGCGGTTGCCGCCACCGTCGTTGGTAGAAGGGCTGGAAGAGCCCCCTCCCACCAATGATGTTGGCAGTTATCACCAGCTCGTGCCCATTGCTTTTGGACCACTATCTCGACTCCACATAGGAGCTTAAAGGAATTAGTTCCCGTAAATGAGTGAGTTGTAACGACGATAGAAAATCTCGAATTTTACATTGGAGGAGGGCACTAATACGACCAGGAACTACCAGGACAGTTTATCGCTGGTTCAGATGGCATGATCTTTGAAGAGTACACCCTCAGGACGCTTCCACGAGAAAACAACTATTCTCAGCGCCGTCAACGCTGAAGGTGGTATTGCACAGTTTTGAATTGGAACTTCCTTGTATGCAACCAACAGGAGGCTAATCATCTACCACTTTCTCGTTCTCCCCTCGGTCCCACGTTCTCCCTCCCTTCCTCCTACTGTCTTCCTCGAAAGGAGCCTTTGGAACATCTGATTACTAAGCCTGAGAGTTGGTTCTTTGCGGTTCCAATTCACATGGTGCCGATTGCGCACAAAGCCAAATCGACATGCACCCCAGGGAAGCCCTCTTTTGCTATGTGTGGTGTTTAAGGGAAATGCTTAGGACCTGTTCCTGCAAGGACACGTGGATGCTGTTATTCACGTAACACGCTTCGAGAAATTCGCAGAAGATGTGCCAAAAGAGCGGCTGAGAAAAGTAAACAAGTGAATCTCCTGCGTGTCTTTTCACTGCTAAGGGATCAATCAAGAATAGCGGTTTCATCTGATACGCTACTTTATCCTACCTATTCTCCCGGTATATCCCATCTCCTGAACGTCCCTTATTCCACCTCTCAAGCGTTTCTCGACTAAGGAAATCCTTACCAAGCCCTGTGACATCAGTCGGGAGACCGCTTACTTCCTCGACCTTCAGCCTTAGCATTTCTTCGAGAAGGGGATTGCTGAACTACCCATTGTAGTGTATAACAAAGGCAGTCTAACAATTGCTGACTAATTTCCATTTTTAAGCTCATCACAACACTTTCCTACAAACTTGGTATTGAATTAGCATACATTTTAGTTTGGCAATGTTGTTCCTTAAATGTCAGAATGGTCCCTAAGGAGCAGAGCGAGCTAATAGCAACTAACCGTATGATTTGGCATTGTTGTGAAGTAATTGTTTATAATGCCGCCTCCCAGCCCTATCAAAAGAACATCTTGCTTTTCCGTTGAATTGAAATCCAACGCGCCACTGAAGAATGCTCCAACGACCATCAAACGTGCATACTCCAGTCGTATTGTACTTTTGTCAATTTTCCACGTTTTTGTGTTGAAGTTTTCCCAAGTCAAGGCTGAAATGTGGACTACTAGACTCCCTTGGGCAGTTTGATATTGCTTGTAAAATAAGTACTCACGTGAAGGAGGCAGAATTCTGGCGTCCGATAGCGTCAAAACTCCTTCTGGACCTTTACGACGCAGTGAACGATAAGCTATTAATCTAGGCTAGTTTCTTTGTTACTAATATGGGAACACTTTTGAAGAACAGAGGAAATTATAGTATTATTTGACTGCTGAAAAACTGGTTATGTTTTGAAGGCACAAGTGGTTTACATCATTTGAAGTTCCATGGACACTCCTTTTGAAGGCAGTTGGCACGAGGTTTCCTGCTTAGCCTAAAATGCTAGTAGTGTACTGTACTGTACTGTATAGTGGGGAAATGGCGAAAGGAAGGAGTGAAACGATCAAAACCCTGTGAAGAAAAATCCTCCTTTCTCAGTGACTTGTAAATCGATTTCGGACGAGTTTCCCGTAGGCATCATGCCAATCCCGCTACCGAGGATACGGTGCATATGTGCACCCATGTATGCATGCAGCATCACGGCCGCTTCATACCAATCCCTCGCTTCATAATTTGCAAATGAATGAATACGAGCGTCAGGAGCGGTCGTCCATTTATGGGAAGGCGGGTGTAGCGGGCGTAATGTTGTGGCTTGATGGAACCCTTATAAGGGCACCTTTCTCGGGGAACTTGCTATGCAGCGCCTGCCCAGGGTCGCGGAATTCTATCCTGCCAGGAGTATTGATCCTAGTCGTCTTGGGGGAATTATCGTGCCAACTGCCTTCAAAGAAAAATCAGCCTCTCATAGTCAGTGGGAGAGCTACGTGGCTGCTGATACCGAGATCCTAGGTACACAGCAAAGCTGAAGCCCTAAAACGAAGCCCTATCTGCTCTAAAGAACCTTCTTAGCTACTGATACTCACCCAGCCCAGTTAGGACTAGCGAGCTACTAAATACCCCAAATTGATGGCATTCCCCTAAGTTCAACACCACTTTGGAATTTCTTTAAAAGACCATGGATTACAGGTCCTCGGAAAAATTTCTGGATGATACTTGTGCGCAGTAGCGGATACATACAGTCTATAACATCGCAAACAGTCGGGAGCGGTGTGAGGAGGGCGGAATGAGTCCGCCTCCGACTGCCTTGCTCTACCAATGGCGATCGGCTAGTGGTCGGCCTGGGGAGACAACAACCAGTGGTGAAAACGCAGCAGGTAGGGTCAGTCTACCGCTCTTAAATGCGAAGCGACTGATTGCGATGATAACAAAAGGATAACGGATAAAGTCTTCGGCGTTAATCAATCCCTTTGTGGGATGCGGCACGCATTCTACTTCCGTCGAGAATTGTTGGCTTACTGAATGCGATATGGCCTATACAATGACTTGCGGGGGCCAGCCGATGTACAAGTCAGTGTTCTTATCCTCCCAGACGAATCTGGTATCGATTCTCCGTCCCCGGAGGGTAGAAGGCTTGGTTGGCCTGGGCGGGTGTCGACCTGGGATTCGAAGCCAGGACCGCGCGAGTGGTAAGCGCGCAACTTATCACTACACCACCTCCGCCTCTTATTGATGATACCAACTGAATATACGATTAAAGCCGATGAAACATCTTACTTGCCGTTAAGTTCTTCTACTCGATCCATGATGACAAAGCATGTTTGATCTAGCTCACTGCAAAGTTCGTCAAGCTGCAATGATGTAAGCTTCCCAAAATGTACTAATGTAACTGTACTGTAAATGAACGAAAGTTCTGGGGAAAAAAAGTATTTTAAAATGCTCTCGTGACCAAAATGACCAACAGCTTCGCAAGTGTGCAAACATGCGTCTAGAAACTTTGAACTAACCAACTTATTTGATACTCCCAAAGCAGGTTTTCTAGACAGCAGTAGGATTTCAGAGGCTCCTCAATGGTTATGTCATCCGTAGGATGTGTTCATAAATCAAGCGGTTCTACCGCGTTTACAGTCTTGTTCGCTGCTGCTGATGGGGCTTGTCAGTAAGGCTGGGTTTTGCGCGGCGCCAGCTCGTTCCCACCAATTGTTGTAGTGAGCAATCGATAACAGTCAGTGGGGAAAGGGCTGTCTCCGCGTCAAACCCTTCCCCCAGACACGCCCCATCATTCGCAGCGAACTAGACTGTACCTCGCCCCGACGAGTAAGAATGTGCCACTTTTTCTCATACCACAAACCTCGCTCAGACGCGGAACCTGCCTTTGAACTATCTATAATATAATTTGCAGCACTTGATAATATGACTGGAAGTCGTACCTTATGGTGCGGATTGCTTAGAAGCCGCTTTCTAACTTGCATTTCTTTCCTTTGAACGTTCTTTGTGGAAACTGCTTCCGTGACATTCTTACTTACTGCCTCTATATTTGAAGAGATGGCTTCATTCAACAAGTGCTGAACAATCAAACAACAATCTCAGCAAAGTTTACTCATACAACCATTCCTTATCCCTGAAAGGGAGTAGGCGTGGCATTCGTACATGGCATAGAGGGTTACTCGCGAGATATACTTTGAGACTACTGTCATCTTTGTGTTGAACCAAAGCGTGACTATAATTGCCTCGGAACGAAAAGGTCTCTCCAGAAGCACAGCGTTCAGTTGAAGTACGCAGCCACGCCTACCACATCTCATTGATTTCGATTGTAGTTTAGAAGTTCTTACCGCAGTCAAAAAAGAAAAGAGAACAGTAGCGATAGAGCATAGCAAGGGAATAAATCGCAGCATATGGACTGCTGTATCATAGCTTCAATGGATTAAAACTACCGCGACACCTGTACAAATATGATCCCATCACTTTGCTGCAAATAGAGTCGCTAGCAAATCGTGCTATCGTCATCCATAGATTTGATACTACGATATATGTTGAACTACTCTTTCAGCGCAACAATATTAATGTAGACTGTATGACGCAGAGCAGTAGGGCGGAGCAGTCGACATTGGCCACTTCCGCTCATCAATGTTGGAGTGCAGTGCTCGAATTACTGTCGAGTCAACACGATAAAGTAGGCAGTTTCACTGGTGATTTAAGGGTTCTTATAATAGCGGATGCGTTTCAAGTCGTAGTGCAGTTTCCCGTGTGAAAGGTAATAAAAAACGTTGAAACAAATGTTCCTGCAGTTGATATTGTCGCAATCAGTCAGGGCGGTGTCAAGTGGGAGGGAACCTGGCGGCACCAGTGAAGTTTCCGCCTATAGTTCATTTCTTTCTGAACCAATCAACCAATTACTGTTGGTAGCAGAAGCAGCCGGAGGCAGGCTTATTCAGCCACTCCCGACGCCGCGTCAACTGAGTGCGACGACATTAATTAGCTGATTTGCCTTGTCACATCGAGGGGAACAGATGATATCTTGCTTGGCGCCCTGCTGGGCCTGATGATGCACTCATTCCTAGTGCTGCCAAGGTAGTAATTTGTGATTTCAATGCGGCGAATGACGAGCGAAACCTCTTACAACTACGCCTCCCACGTGTCATCTATCTGATACCGTACTTTATTAATGCCATGGCTAATCGCTGAGAGAGCACTTTAATTGGTATAGTGAAAAGCGGCGCTCCAGCTAAAGCCACACTGGATCCTAAAAAAACTCAAGCAGCTTTCTGGGAACTTCAGCGACAGCTTTCTAGGAATTGTGCAATACAACCCTAGGTGTCGACCTCATGTTCCTCTACTGAATACTTTTGAAACACCCCCGACCGTGCCCCATTAAAATCGTGAGGCGCATTTGAGAACCAGAGAATAGGAGAATAGGCAAAAGTTTATCAAAATGGAAATATAAAATGATCAGGTAATTCTTACAAATGTGCGGTTTAGTCCCACCAATGTTCCAAGAAATTCTTTCATTACCAGCGTAATGTCGTTCTGCCCATGAGATCAAATCTCACACTTATTCTTCTAGGTCCTGAATGCATTTGACCTTTTTAGGATGAGTGCACTTGTTCGAAGCGCAGTATACCACCAAGGAAAGATGGAGCTGAATTGGACTGCTAGGAGGGGAGATTCGGTCAGCACCGATATCGTAGTGGCGTCATTACTTTCACGCGTAATGTATCTTTCCCTGCGCCTGCATTTGTCTGGTCAACTAATTAGGAAATACTCCGGCTGGAGATGGGGCATGACGCCGCGAGGAGGAAGTGATGTTCCGCATCTTCTCCGGGACACGCTTTCCCAAAACGCCGATTTAACCCATTTTCCTTGAACAACGATCCTCTGCCGCAGAGTATGAACGTGGCCTGAAATTACTGCGCTTCGGCTATTTGGCATGTAAACATCGTACCTGAAACACAAAAAAAACAATCAAAAAATTATTCACCAGACGGAACGACCTCTACAAAGACTCGTTTCTCGATTGGAGCAATTCCTATTGAAGACCTGCGTTTACTAGTAATGGAGCTCTCTGAATAGAAATCTTAGACTTTAACGTCAAGCGGAACATATTCAAAAAAAAAAGATTTTCGCTCTATTTATAAGTTGAATTCAGGACCAAACTTCCGTTCTGGAACATGAATAATTTACAGTGATCTTTCAGTTAGGAAATTAATTAGTTGTGTTCATTTGGTTACCACGGAATGTTCGATGATGAGTGGTTAGCGCTCGTCAAATTCATCACTTATTATGTCGGCTATTCGAAGCGCGCTTGATATTCTGGCCGAGGCTGCTTCAGCCATGAGAGCAAAAGTAAGTGGTCGAATGAAAACGAAAAAAATTCAAAATTATTTAATCAAATAACTAGCTTATTGATTAATCAGTTGGATCACACCCTTTAATCAAATAACTAGCTTATTGATTAATCAGTTGGATCACACCCACAACCCGGAAAGACATGCAAGCCAAACTTAACTAATTGTAGGGCTGAATTCGGCCCGCGGCAAAATTTGGTCATCCCACATGGGATGTCACAGTTTCGATACAGCCTGCACTCACAATCAGGGCTTATCCTACGCTGAGAGATCGCACCGGAAAGGGGAGGGCGTGTGTGATGTAAGAAAAATTTTTTTGACTTTGATTTTCCCTATTTCATGGGCGCTGTTCATCGGTCCGAAAATTTCAATGGGAGGGGGATGGGGAATGATACCGTTGTTGGGAGAGGGGGGGGGAGAGTTAGAATTTGTCTCGAGGGAAATTCGGCGCATTGCTAAGAAATTCGCTCCACTTGTTGACTTTTCCCATTTTCTTGGTGCTATATACACTCCTCGAGCAGCCCTTTTTTTTCTCTGAGGGATAATTGCAAAAATCCTGGGAAGTTTCGGAAAATGTGTAGGGGACTGGGAAAAGTTGGATGATGGAGTAAGGTGATTTTGCATCAGAGGACGGAGTGGGGAGGGAGTCTTGTTTACAGAAAATTCTCCCCAGCAGCAGCACGTGTACTGCTTGCCCTGCGCGAACCACCAGTGGTCCCCTTTCGCCCCCTCCCATAACCCCATTTTTTGACCCACACTCTAATTAGTTGGTACCATTTAAAGACCTCGTTAGGGACAGAGATGTGGAGAAATTAATGTCATATTCGCCTTGGGCGATATGGACGGAGCAAATGGGAAACCGCTATTGAAATCGCTGTTCCGTTTGTTTTCTCATCCATCCGGCATTTCCTGCTTGCTCCCACAACAGCTCTGAATTGCGTTGATAGACTCGTCAGCACCGAATTTTCATTCTTTTTTTCAGTTCAGGTTTCAATTCAACAATTGAAAGAGTAATATTCAATTGTTTTTTTTTGTTTTGCTCCTTCCTGAATCTGGCTTCCGTGCAAGTTTAGCAATCAAGGGAATTGTCTCGCATAATTGAAAATGTATATGGGATTAAACTGTGTATGGTTGGCGACTAACAAGGACAATTAATTGGTCTGATGGTGAAGAGTACGTTTTTGAAAATTTTTCTTATTGGGATGACGTGGCTAAGCGAGATACGGTTTCGTGGAAAAATGCCAGGGAAGTCGCTAAAAATAGCATTGATGAAGTATTATAGCGATCAAGTGGTCTCCCATAGAAACTATTTTTAATCCGAGCAACTATTGAGCAGTGAGAGGGGAATAACCAAGAAGTGAATTTATTTTCGTATTTCACATTCATGCGTAGCACCATAGTTGGAATATTCTTTAGGTTCGGGATCTTTACTTTGAGAGACGTTTACCACCTGAGAGACAAACTGAGACAGCTGGGCCCGCCATGAAATATGAAGATTTCCTTCTCAACCACTCCCTCCCCCCCCCTCCCACCGCCAACCCCTGCAGCGCAAAGGAGTTTGTAATAGGGGAAATCGTTCCAGTTCTCCATACTGCTGATCTCAAAATTTGAGGTGGGAGTGGGGGAGTGGGGGTGAAGCCCAAAACATCTGATCTGCTATGAGGCTGAGAGCTAAAACTCCCACTATCACTGATCGGTGATAGGAAATTCTCACTGATTCATTCAACTTTTAAAAACAACCCTAAGGCTGCATTCATGCTTTGCGGTAGCGTCCACTAGCGACAGTAGCGTGCACCAACGTTCCGAGCATCCGACAGCGGCTCAGAATATGTAGATGTCGATCTAGCGTCTGCTGGTACCCTCCTATCGCCCCATACTCTCCACTCCCAGACGCTGCTGCTCGCTGGTAGACGCTGGCAGACGCTGGCAAATGGAAGGTCGGTACCTAAACTTTTCTAGCCCTCGAGGCGCTGCTAGTCGCTGGTGGTCGTTATTGGTCGCTCGTGGACGCCTTATAGTATGAACGCAGCCCAATACTTTCTCACCAACTTAAAATTACGCGTATATATGAAGGATCTACAAAATGTAGAGCTATCATAATGAGGACTTTCTCAGCATATGTACATTTCCAACACGTACTATTTGGGAAGCTGTCATGCGCAGCGATAGTCATTTCGGCATTTTAGGCTCCTAACAGAGTTTGAAAAGGGTAATTTCGATTTTTTTCGCTTTGGCGGGAGCATTAAACCTTCAACGTCAATTGTTTTGTTTGTCAGTTCTCATTGGTGGTCGCATCTGGCATGAGACCAATTGTTTTGCCCTACAACCTTGTAAATCGTTTCCACACTAAAATTCTATCAGAATAACATCAAAAAAACACAAAATAATTCGCATCTCATAAGTACACTTTAATTTGTTCTCTGTCTTATTACATGCTGTCAAGTGCAGGCGGTGAGCAAAGCGCTGACGTTATGTAACGACTACATCCTTCAATACATTTCATGCCTAACCCACTTATTACTTTGTCCGTTAAGTGGTAAAATAATGAAATATTTTTCAAGAATGCTGTCATTACTTGTTTCTTATTGATAGTCTTTCGAGATTTTTTTGTAGAAATTCTATAAAGAGCGGAATAGTTTCTGGAATAGAACTTTGGAGTAGTAACATTTCACGAGTACCCTCGCTTTTTTTTACTTTTACTACTGTTTCCATCACCTTATTTTCGTCATTTTACGACATGGGCGTCTCGTGATTAATTGGCTTTCCATGTTCTCTTATGAGCTGGAAGATATTACAACCATACACAATCTTATTCACTATGGTAACTTGCGAGATGTCTCAAACACGAGAAATTATCAGGTTGTGGAGGGATTGTTTAAAATACAGCCCCTTTCTCTCCCCACGAGCCGTTTCTCTGGTACAGCCCCCCCTGCCCTTCACATCCTACCATGTTCACAACATTTCCCAATATTCTGAAGTAGAGAGGGCGAGAGTGGAGGAGGTAGACCGATGCCGATGGTCAACTATCAGCGCGGCCCCCACCACAGCACATCATTGGTTGGAGGTTTTATTCGAGTCTGTACGACCCCCCCCCCCCCCACTCCGGCACCCTCTGTCTCTCCTCATCGAATGGAGCCCGTCGAGCGGCGGTGGGGGACGGGAGCGGAGGGAGGGGNGGGGGGGGGTATATAGTACGCATGTAACAGGAAAGTCACGAAAGTCACCCACCACTCCCGCCACCCTAGAGAGGCCAAAACGTAAATACGACCCCACCCTCTCAACAATGACCAAGTACGACCCCCCTCCCCCTTTACAACGTTCGTGAAACGGGAAAATCAACAGTCAGAAAAAAGCTTCTTACGACGAGATGGCCTCCTTTCTCTAGCGGCCTAAACTACCCCCCTCTACCCATTCTCGTGAACGCGCTGGTCTCATCAACGTTAGTCTTCATGAAGACATGGTCCGTTCATGCTTTTATTCGAACTGCCGCTTGATGTACTAAAACCATTCAACACAGAGAGGTCGATCCGGTGACAGCTCGCTCGTTTGGCTGTGTGAAGACGTAGCACGAACATTGATTGCGAGTTCCTGGAACTATTGAGTGGACCAATTAGTGCAAATCTCTCCGCAATCCAGGTTTGCATAAACAGGGTACAGCATCGTTGTGTGATACACACGGGGGGGAGGTCGTACCTTGCCGCTGGGGAGGGGGTCGAATTCGATCGTTGGGAGAGGGGGGGAGTCATATATGTGCCTTTGAGAGAAATCTACTCCGCTGGGAATAAAAACAAAACATTTTTCTCGCGTGATTTTTCCTGTCTCATGTGTACTATATACCTCCACCCCCCCCGCCCCCTTCCCCGCACGACAGCAAAAGTCTTTGGGAAAAGTAGGAAAAGTTTGGGAAGTTCCAGAAGAAAGTGGTAGGAAGCTAGGAAAAATCTAGAAAAATTTAGCAAAAATTTTCTCGTTTCACATTGGCTATTTGGCTGTATACCGCCCCCCCCCCTTCCTGATCGACAGCAAAATTTTCGGGTGGAAAACTGGAAAATGTGGGAATTTGATAGGTAGGGTTGGGGAAGGTGGGGGGTTCGATCGAGATCCTCATTTAGGTGGGGGAGAGCACTGACACCCTCCGTGTCGTACCTGCACTACCATTTACACATCACGATGCTGTTCTCTGTGCATGAAACGCGTAGCGCATTCGGAAATTATTGTTAGAGTCAGCTTCTAGGGACTTCCATTTGGCGCTGAAAATTCCTGAAATTCTCAAGGATTCTCGAGTAAATAGTTCCTCCGATATATTCAGCCTCATCATTACACATATTTCCATTGCAAAAAGAATCGCGCGGGACTGAAGGACTTTCCGGATTTGGGAGGCGCGGCGGTTAGAGCTGGTCTAGTGATTGCCCTAATTCACATAGTTATTGCAGGAAGTGGATTAGTATTGCTATTGATTCATCTTTTTCTCAAAAATAGAAAAAATCTTGGGTTAATGCGGGTTGATACTTGACATTCGTCATACTAAGTCCTTCACGCTATTGCCGCCGAAAATGTGTTGCTGAAAAAATCTATTTGCTGGTTCGTTTGCGTTTTTAACAAGGACACCGCTGGAACCTGAGGGCATTCCTTTTCCGAGTCAAAGGCTGGGCTGTGCTTGTGATCTATTACCCTCAGACCGCGGGAATGAAATCCTGATTTTCTTCCTGTCCTTCATCCCCTCCCCCTCTCCCCATAGAGTCATGAAAAATAGCAGAGCTTAGAAGCGGCAGAATTGTGCTAATCGAGAAGTGCGACCCGAAGTCAACACGCCACTTTTTCCGATTTCTTTTATTTTCTTTCGATGTCTGTCTTATGAAAATAAGCTTTTCGAGATATTTGCAACGAAAGAACCCTGAGTACCTCATCTCCTCCCAATTTCTTTTTTTTTCAGATGAATCTACCTAAAGAACGATGCCTGTCGTCGAATACATTCGGGGTTTATCCCAATCATTACAAACTGCCGTCATCGCTATGCTGCTTTCGCATAATGCAACTTCGGGTTTGTTTCCCAGAATTCATAGACGTAAGCCCCATCAATGATGGCGTGTGAGGCTGTGTCCATACTTTGCGGCAGCGTCCACTAGCGAACAACAGGTCCCGAGCGTCTGGCAGCGTCACCAACCAGGAAAGTACGGATATCAATCTAGCTTCCACCAGCATCTGCCAGCGTCTACCTGCGTCTACCAGCGTCCATCAGCGACCAGCAGCAGAGTGCTGGGAGAAGAAATGGTAAGATAGGAGGATACCAGCTGTCTGCTGACCTCCCATCGCGCCATATTCTTTACTCCTGAACGCTAGTAGATGCTGGTTGGACGCTGCCAGACGCTAGATCGATATCTACACTAGCCCATCGCTGATACTGCCGCGCTTTGAACGCTGGTGGACGCTGCAGCAAAGTATGAACGCAGCCTGAGCAGCCTTCCCGTCAATGGTTGTGGAATTATGTATGCCATCACTTATAGAAAGACTGTTTTGGGGCACTCTAATCCACGCCCCGAACATGACTGTGATCTTCTTAGATTTAATTGTTTTTACGCTCGTTTCAGACCGGTGTGGTATGGTTGGCTTATGGAGAGATGGTTTGGATAACTTCACAACTATCATACTGGGCAGCTCAAGCTGTAACAAATGGTTTCCCACAAGCTGTTATTATGATTGGTTTCTTTTTCACGTTCTCGCAGATAGGTAAAACTGCACTATTTTTGCAATAATTCTTTATAGCTAGGATTCATCCTTTGTTTTCTTTTCAAGAAAAAAATCCCTGCATGTTTTTTTTCAAGAAAAAAAATCCCTGCACCCCCTCCCCCTTAGCGGTTACTCTGTTTTCGGGGGTATAAGGCGCACTTGCATTTGGGCGTACCTAACGCCGCAAAATTTTTTTAGCACTCTTTTTGCTACTCGTTTGTTTATTTTCATCGATCTGGATGAACCACATTGAATAGGAACTGTTTGAATACAATTCAAAAAGCTAAACCAAAAATATGCAGAAAGTCCGGAAAAGCAGCTGTTTCCTAAAGAATGCTGAGTTATGGGCAAAAGTCGGATCACGGACGGGATTCGGACCAGCATCTTCTGCTTCCCGTGCAGCTGCGTTCCCTATTACGCTACGGGGCCACTTTTGATCATTCAGCTCAATGGCTATCAGGTTTACTAGACAGGTGCTCAAGAGCTCACGTTGTGAAGTGCTTTCCAAAAACTGACTTGGTTTTCCGCTTTCTTTTTTTTTGGATCACCTGACAGACGGTCTCATATTTTTTTACTTACAGTATTCGTGCTGTTCCTTCTAAAGGGCGTGAAGCAGTTTCGATCGTCTTTCATTGCTTGCTATCTATGTGGCCTTGTAGCGAGAATTATTCTATATCTAATTTTTCTAATGCTCATCGGTTTCGTTAACCTCGCATTCGTTTGGGACGGTGAGTTAGAACCTATTTGAGAGGAGTGTCATGTTTGAAGGATAGGTGAGTGCTTTGGCATGCCGCCATTCCTTCTTTACTGGTTGATGAAAGGGATAGGGGTTGCGTTCATACTTTTCGCAACCTCCACCAGTGACCAATAGCGTCCAGCAAGCGTCAGGCAGCGTCAGCGACTAGGAAAGTATGGATACCGATCTAGCGTCTACCAGCGTCCACGTCTACCAGCGTCCACCAGCGTCACGAGGACTAGAGAAGTTTAGATATTGATCTAGCGTCTGCCAGCGTCTACCAGCGTCTACCAGTCGGCAAGTGAAGAGTATCGCGCGATAGGAGGATAGCAGACAGCTGTTGACTCCCTCTATCGCACCATTCTCTCTACCAGCAGACTGCTGTTGGTCGCTGGATGACGATCATAGACGCTGGCAGACGCTAGAACGATACCTACGCTTCCCTGGCACTCCGGACGCCGGTGGACGCTGGGAGACGATCGATATCCATACTTCCCCAGTCGCTCATGCTGATAGACGCTGGATGACGCCGACGCAAAGTATGAAGGCTGACCGACAGCTACTGTGGAAAACGACTGATACGAACAATATGATAAATCCTTGCTTTTGGCGAGAGAAAAAAAAAGAGAAAAAAGCGCCAGCCCATCTCTTTTCCACACGCCCTTTGTGCGCGATGTCTTGGCTCGGATCCAAGGACGTTCACCCGTTTGGTGTGCAAACCTGCCGCTCGAGGCGCGCGACAATATTGTGCGGCGTTTACTCGCAGCATGGCGAGAGGTAAGCGTGCGATATCACATGTTTATTAATATTAGTATGTTATGTCGTCTTTTTACGTTATTTGAATGTTATTATGTTATTTTATGTTATATTAACATGTTGGTACGCATATTGCGTGCTAACAAAGGCTTCGCACCAGAAAGGAAAATTTGTGACCGGCGCAGTGGTGTGCAATCAGGGTTGTACAAACTCTTACTGTGTGTGTACTCCTTGAAAACTTTAATTTAGAAGACGACGAGACTACATTGATATTTTTCCGCACAAAAGTGCCTATCAAGGTGACTTTCTGCGTATTCTATACTACCTTGAAGATCTACCTATTTGTCGTAATATATCGATTTTATTCGTATATAGTCGAAACGACCGCTTATTTTCGTGGAGAAAAACAGTCGCCTTTGGCAAGTTTGTTTTTGATTACTTTGGTAGCACTACTTGAAATTTACGATTTTTTTTGACATTTCGTTCACATTTTAATCAAATACGTAGGCGCGTCAGATGTGACGAGACATTCGTCTCTGAGAGCCACTTAGTTCCACATGAATATCGCATCCGTTCGGCACGAAAACGCCGCCACCTGAAGCGCTGCGCTTCTCCCTCCCAAACAGTTTGAGATCCCTTCTATTGGTAACGCGCAAGACTACCCCCGAACGCCATGTACGGCTCTCCATAAACCTCGGCATTGTGATGATAGTGAGATATCTTCTTTGAACTCCACTCGAGGTTGCTAATTAACCTTTATTGGCTTACGTTTCGGCGGGATCGCCTTCTTCAGAGCCTGAAAGGATCGAACACCGCCCCTTGCTCTACAGTCGCTATGTTGATGACTGCTTTGTGATCTGCTCCACACAAGAAGAGATGGACATGTGCTTCCAACTTCTCAACACCCAGTCTGAGCACATTAAGCTGACACGGGAAAAACCATCCGGAAATTGGCTACCTTTCCTAAATATCCAGGTGAAGATCCAGGGTGGCACGCTTTCTACGAAATGGTATAGAAAGCCTAGCAATAAGAACATTATCGTCCATTGCCATTCCGCTCACCCTTTGCGGATCAAGCGAGCTGTCGTGAGGAACATGTTTCGAACAGCGGCGAAGGTCTGTTCGGGAGAGGAAGAGCCGAAAGGAGTCCCTAAAGCTGGCACACGAAATTGCTGCCCTCAATGGCCTACAAAGAACCAGCGACCTCCCATAGAGCCAGAAATAGTGCCCGAATAGCAGACGTGTGGTGGTAATTGCTGGACGAAAAAGTCCCTTTCATTTTGCCCTACGTCTCTAAGGAAGTCAGCACTTCCATCAGGAAGTGCTTGGGGAGGGTCCGGCTTGCGAAAGCACAGTGGTCATTGTAAATGTGCCACCCACTAATCTGAAGCGTCGCCTGGTTAGGAATCGGCTATATGATCGTCTGTGTACAACCCCGAACTGCGTAGTCTGCCGACTGGCCAGGCGAGGGCGACTGTTGCATCTCGGGGGTAGTCTACAAGATCACCTGTTTGCACTTGGCGGGAAGAGTACATCGGTGAAACATCCAGACCGATCAGCGTGAGGGTTAAGGAGCACCTGGACGCGCAAAAGCAGGTCACGTTTGTCGACTGCCTTAGGGGCCCACAGGGTTCAAGTGCATGACGCGGGACGATTTTGAGGTCGAGGTCAGGGTCTTGGCGCGAGGAATCGCAGACATCTGCACGCAAAACCCTCGAGGCATTTTGGATTGAGGTCAGCAATCCAAAATGAACCGGGGGGGGAATGCGTCACAATAACGCAGGAGCTGAGGCCTTATATAAGGATGGCCTTCCAAGAGTGACCCTGAATGAGGAACAGTCCGAGGAGGTCCTACTGCCGGCTCGCTTGGTTTCGAAGATCGGACTGTGTTGCGTGAGTGCCCCCTCTTACGATTTAGGTTATGGCCTGTAATGTACTCGAACTTCACTAAGGTAGTGGAAACGTTTTGTCGGGTAGTCATAAATTGCTTCGATCCTTTCAGGCTCTGAAGAAGGCGATCCCGCCGAAACGTAAGCCAATAAAGGTTAATTAGCAACCTCGAGTGGAGTTCAAAGAAGATATCTCACTACGCCCGAAGACAAGTTCCTAGTCAAGATAAAATGTGGATTATAAAGTGCCTGTCCGTCTGACGCCGACGTTCCTCCTTCTGTGATACGGCCCGGCTTCTCCAGGTGGACGCGGCTTCTCCGCGCGTGATTCTTCTACATGTTTGGACAATCGGCATTAATCCGGCTTCCCTTTCACCTGTCCAGATGATCAGCGCTCCTTTATCAATAACATCATACCTACTATTTACCACTATTACGTCTATGAAATGGTGGTAAGCAGCATTTGTCAAGCGCTCAAATGAGAGAAAAGCCGGGTGTTAGTTGAACATTCCTACATACGAAAGCAGTTAGGCGCGAGGAAACCAAGCAAACCCGACAAAGGTCATGTTAGAGAAGAAGTCGCGCCTGCGTCAGTCAGCGAACCGACTGATATAGAATGTAACTGTGACGACAGGTGTTCAAGGGTATCGCAGCCTATGCGCAGTGGGAACGGGTACCTCGTGCTTGACGGCATGCTCCACCCACTACGAGCACCAACACACTACAGACATCTCGTGAATGTTTCTCCTCTCCAACGCACTTCCCCGACTCCAAACTCTCTAAGATCCGAACAATAAAATTTTGCAACAGCACGCTCATCCGCCCCCCCCCATTTTCGAGTGTCTCCCCTATTTGTACGCTAATCCTTTGTGGACCTCACTGCACTGGTGCCTATGCTGCTCGGCAACCAATTGGTGAATTCATGACTTTCGCCACCCACACTGACACAGCTCCGCCCACAACGGGCGCGTCTATCTCGCTTCAATATCCGAGTTCCTGCACATCTTTGCTTACCTCTTGCCGGTGTCTGGAGTGCTCTGGAACCTTCTACAGAATTTCGCTGTAGGCTCTCTCATCGCCGCACGCTCTGTCCACTCTGAATGTATCCCTCACCAACAGGTACCCCTCCTGACCTTAATCCACGGGTGTCTGGAGTGCTCTGGAACCGTTTTACAGACTTTTTGTATGGCTCCGCTCAGCTCGAGGTAAGTATCAGCCACAACAGTGTGTGTCCCACACGTCTCGACCGGCAACCCTTCGCTGACATTGATCCACTTTTTTCCGGCCTCTGGGATGCTCTGGTACCGAGCTACGGACCTTTCTTTCTGGCTCCGCCTACCACGAAGCAGGCTCCGCCCGCAGCATGTTTCCCTACATTTCTCAACCGGCAACCCTTCGCCGAACTGAATTCACTTTTTCCTTCCGGTGCCTGGAGTGCTCTGGAGCCGAGCTGCAAATTTTTGAAATGAGCACACTATGACTAAGGATAAGCTCCACCCACCGTGGGCGGGTCTGAACACTGTCAGGCATGCCCAACTTTCAACAGATGTGGCCCTTCTGCAACAACTTTTTTGCGATATCCAAACTCTCTCGGGAAGCCAGCTACTGAATTGTGTGGGAAGCACCGCCCATCTCAAGCATGCCCCACCCATTTCGGTATGTCTCCCCTAATCAGTCTGACAACCCCTTGCTAACCTAATCACTTTTTCCCCATCTCTGGGCTGCTCTGGAAGCGACTTATGGATCTTTATCGGCGGCATCGCCAACGTTCCGCGCATGCCCCGAACACTGTAGGCGAGGCTTCGCCTACAGTGTTCGGGGGCCATGTGTGCTCTTTACTTCTCGTCCCATTTCCTACTCACTCCCACCTTTACCCAACCTCTCCAAGTTGCTCTCCAGGTAACCGAATTTCCGGACATACAAACAAACAAACAGACGAAGCAATTTATATATAGTGGGTTATGAGATAATTACTGCAGACTTCGCCTTGGAGATACCACCCGGGACCTTGGGTGGGCGTAACCAGGAAATGACATCTTCGGCGTACTTATCCCTTACCCACTCTCTATGACGTTAGGACAACGGATATCCTTGCTCTAAAACAGGCATTTTCAGAACATCACCTCCCAAGTCCTTTTTTGCTTGCCCTATATTTCCGAACGGGCGAGCAGGGCGATTCGACCACTTCTTAATAGATGTGATCTCCAGAACGACATTAGTATTGTGGACATTAGTGACCCCATGTAACTTAAAACGTCACTACTTCGTAACCGGCTCTGTCATACCTTATGTGACACTCCCGATTGTGTTGTTCGTCCCTTCGGCAGACTGGGCGATTGCATGAAGTCGGCACTTATCTACTCGATACACGCCCTGTTTAAACCATGTACTCACTGTGGCAATGAGTACATTGGTGAAACAGGGCGTCCCCTTCGTGTGCGGATTAAGGAACATCTGGAGGGGCTCAGTAGATCTAGTGTCCAGACCCACTCGGAGCTCGTCAAGTTGACCACCATGGAGGCACGTCATTCGATGTGTCGGTGGTCATCTTACCGCAGGAGCCCGAGATCACGGCGCTTAAGACATTGGAGGCGTTTAAGATCACTGCCAAGGAACCTAAAATGAATAGGAAAGAGGACTGTGTGGCTGTAACCCGCAAACTAGCGCCCTTCCTCGACCTCTGTAAGTTTTGATCTATCGTGAGGTCGGTGGGTGTAAGTGGTGATGATGACTCCACCTCAAGTCAACCTCAGGATGGTCGAGCCCGCATTGCGGCGTCTTAGATGAAGGTGAGCCATAACACTATCGATGGATACCATTGGGTTGTTTTATTGGTTTAGTGAAATTGTCTTGGGGATTGTTGAGGCCTTGTCTTCAATAATTTCTTGAGGCCACAACCAAGGTGTTAAATCACTTTATTGGGCTGACGTTTCGGCTAGTCGCCTTCGTCAGAGCCTGGAAGTTGAAGATTAGTGATTCAGTCCTCGTAAATCATTTCAAACTTAGAAATAGTTCATAGATCAGCGCGTCTAGGAAGGTATCGCAAATCCGGAACACAAGAACTCACCTTAGATCATACGGTATATTTTGTAGAAAATCACCGCTAAACTGACTAACTGTGTGTGGCTTCAGAGGACCCAGCCCCTCGACCTGAAGCCGATGGCGATTGAAGCCCACATAGGTCAACAAATGGGGCGAGCTCGTTCGTAATGGCGAGACACTCGTCTTTCTTGTTCATTTTTGGACCTTTAGCGCGTATCCAAAAAGCCTCCAAAGTTTTGCGGGCTGAGGTCTGGGGCTCTCGCATCAGAATCCTCACAGTCATCTCAAACTCAGCACCTCCATGGCACTGCCGCCTGTGAGCTCCCAGGGGAGTCTCCGGTCCTGTCTTCTTCAAGCCGTCTAAGTGTTCCCTGATCCTGGAACGAAGTGGTCGTTCGGTTTCCCCAATGTGCTAAATGCTTTCTGGACCACCTTAGTGTTAGGTTGGTGCATAAGTTCTTTGGCCATGTTTGATCCTTCTTTTGCATGGATGTTGTATTCGTCATCGCGTGTGCGTGACGTGGGCACTATACTCTTTTATCACA